TACAGCGTACCAGGTGTAGTTAATCGATAAAAATCGATATCGGAAATCAATCGATTCGATCGATATCAATCGTTATTCCATCGCCGATTGCTATCGATTGATCTTGGCAATCGATAACAATTGAACTCACAGAAAAAATTTCTTTATCCATTGCCATCGATTGGCAAAAAGGACCGTACAGTACAGTGCAGTGCAGTGCAGTGCAGTGCATTGCAGTACTGTACAGTACATATATCTTATTACATGTTTTGGTGTGTGCTATCGCTGTATATTTTTACGAGTTGTACCGTATTTTGACGAGCCCGACGATCGAGTCAAAATACAAACAACGAGTAAAAATATAAAGCGATACTACACACCAAAATATCTGATAGACGTTTTGCACGGCAGCCATGTTGCATGGCAGGAACAATAGATTCTTTTTCCTATGGGAAAAATGTTCTTTCTAATGCAAAACATTTTCGTTGTTCCTCCCATGCAACATGGCTAACGTGCAAAACCTCTATAACAGATTTATTATCCAACTGCTGTAGTCAATAATTTATCAATGAAAAGGGGGAGAGTGTGACAGTTTTGTGTGCGCGCGCCGATCTGTACGGCAAACAGGTTTTCTACTGTACAAATAACTGTACAATATCGCTGTATATTTGTATTGTTATTTGGACGGTATTCGCTACAGTTGGATAATAATGTACTTTACAGTGCTGTACTGCACTGCACTGCACTGCACTGCACTGCACTGCACTGCACTGCACTGCACTGCACTGTACTGTACTGTACTGCACTGCACTGCACTGCACTGCGCTGCGCTGCACTGCCCTGCCCTGCACTGTATTGTATTGTATTTACAAATTCCAAGAGACCGCTGCTATACTCTTTTAAAAATCTCAGCCTCGGGTTTGTTCTTAAAATATTCTTAAAATTTTGCAAATTTCAGCCTCGACATTCTTATAAAATATATTCTTATAAAAATAAATACTGTACCGATTTCAAACCCAATCTCGCCTACTCGAAGGTTGAACTCGTTGTTGTTTTTCCAGAGGACGGCATCGTAGTGAAAGGTTTGCTGTGAAGAAAAAAGGCAAGTTTTCAAAACCTTGACAAGCAACTGAACAAGAACAACTCTTTGACATTCGCCTTTTTTCGCTAACGAACTAAACGTCCTTCGATTGTGTCAAATGTCAAATGGGCGTAAATACGAGAGGCTAAATAAACCAGGATCGATCTTTGCTTTCATCTTTGCATCTTTGCTATACCTTGCTGCCATCAATTTTCATGACCATGGCTCATCCTCTTCCCCCGCTCGCGTCAATGCTTGACATGTGACAATACACAGGGATCTTTCCACTGTCAGTCTCCAGCATGTAGGCTGTATTTTCTCGCAAACTAATGAGATGAAAACAAGGTATTTCAGTTTCTGTCATACAAAACTTCTGTGTTGTACTACTTATCAATTCGAAGTCAGTAAAAGTTATCCTTGGAGAGGTTTAAAGCAAATCGTTATTTTTGAACAATTCACTACAGTGATCAGATCTCGACCTTTAATGCATTCATTGGAGGATGTCTTTTTTCCTGGCAAGAACAAAACACTGCGCCCTTGACAAAAAACGATCACCGGCTTTTATCCGCTACATTTATATCCTCGCTACCCACATACAGAAGCTTCTCAGTGCCTTCCCACTAATTACCTGTTTAGGCCTTATTAGAAGCATGGTGAAAATAAAACCTGAAAATTATTTCAACTTTTAAGTTACCCGTTGTCATACGGTTCCTTGCAAGAACACGCTGTAACTGAAGAAAATTCAACTTATATAAAGCACTCGTTACAAAAAAGGGACAAAGAAACGATAGACTGAAGAGCCAATAAGGTCTGTTACGTACTCCAAGTTTACCTGGCGGGGGTTGAAGCGACATTGAGATGTTTTCAAACAGTTCGAAGAGATTTTCCAGCTTCGTTACCAACTTCATTTCCAAAGTCTTAATGGCTGACCAGACATCTGTCCCATCAAACGTGTCGGATTCGGCACCTGATCATAAAAAAGAAAACATGTACGTTAACTGCTGCTCACTAGTTAGAGATTTACAATGACCGAAAACGACAGATTAAAACCATTCGATGCATCGGCAAAGTAGAAAATATTTCTGAAAGTACTTTGACATAAGCTTTGCATCTCATCCAACTTTGGAAGGTGGCCTTTTACCAGCGTTCACGAAAATGGTGAAATACGCGCTACAAATAACTGCAGCGAGTTTTAACGGTTCCATTGTCAAGTCTATGAACCAAACGGTAGGTAAGGTTTTTAACGAGTACTGATAATTCAACATTTGAAGAATCCGTTCGTTTATAAACTCTTTAATGGATGTCTTACATTCAATCTATTTTCTCCTTACACAAGCCCAGAGGTTTTCTTTCTTCATGCGTCGAGAATTGATAAGTCAATCAGTTCCTAGCTAATAATTGGTTCTTGCGTTTGTCACAACCAAAAAAACCAATAGCAAGCTCAGGATAATGACGTTTTTGAAGAGAGGTAACATAACCATAGATACTCGCTAGAAAATATTGACCATCGAAGTTTTCATTACCTCGCATTAAGTCAAATAACCTACGATATGTTTGTTTTCAAATAACCGAAGAGCGCAGCCAAAAAGCTGGTGAAATAACCATAGCTACAAAATTCCTTGTTTAAAAAAGCTATTGAGGGTTAAAGTAATTATTTTAACCACCCCTTTAAAACCTCTGGTAGGACATTCTTCGTTTGATTTTCGATCTTAAACTTATAAACGTCGAAATAGCAATTTATGGAAAAAGTCGGAAATTGTGAATTGCAGTCCATCTTCTCTAAATTGTTCACCTGTAGGTTTTGTCGCAAACGGTTAAATTTTAAATTGCCACCTTTGTTTCTTTTGGCTGGATATTTTCAGGGCATTAGCTAATTTGTTAAAAAGGAACATTTTGACACGCTTTTCCTTGTCAAAGGAAATCATGTAAATTAGTTGGTGCGTATGCTCGCTCTCGCAAGGCCTTCTGTTTGACAAAGAACTATTTTGATGATTATTTGATATAGATTGACAATTGCAGGTTCCTAACATCGAGTCATTTGTTAGTCAGTGCAGGGGGAAGTTCAAATAGTGAGCTAATTAAAGTTCCCAAACACTACAAGTTAGTGTCTACTTTTTCTTTGACGTTTACAGGCTAACAGATACAGAGATTGGGATAAATGAAATTGTTTAAAGGCTGATAATCGATTTCCTGCTTATTCACCGTCTTTATTAAGTCAAATAATTATGTATTATTCAGAATTGATTAATTTGTATATCATAACAATTTCTATACATCTATCTCTGAACCGAAGCCTAAATTTCCTCATTCCAAAAAGATTCTCAAGCCAATTAATTGTTTTCTCTGCGGGGACAACTACACCAGCCGGCGCATTGCTTTAACACACTTGCAGAGTATTTCAAACCATTTATTTATTATACAGACACGAGTGTTTTATTGGAAAATACACTTTGCATAAAATTTACAAGAAACTGCATCCGGAACTCGGGTGGAGTATTTTTCATACCGTCAGTAGTGAAGATATCTACTCCACTGATATCATGTTTGACCCTTCAACGGTACTAAAAACTTGTTAGTGTATGATGAGGGGGACCTAGGGGCCTATTAGAAACCGAAAAACCGTGTAAAAAATCGCCGAAAACTGCAAAACCGCAAGAAATTTCGTCCAAAACCGAAAACCGAAATAAAAGCCCTCACCAACAAAGCTTTGGTAGTCTTCAGAATCTCTTTCTCTGTTATTTAATCGTTATACGTCTAAACTTGTTTTACTTTCCGAAGTTCTTTCTGCGTATTCCATCTTTAGTGCAGAACACATCGTAGTCTAAAAAGCTCCTTTTTTGCCTAAATCGGCTCCACAGACCTATAGCAACGTGAAACTAGAAACAAATTGCACGATAAAATGATTTTAGGTGATTTTTCTTTAAAAGAAACACCGCGTTCTGAAGTTGCTTTTTGATTGCCATTGTGAGAATTTTCATTTGTGTAGGCACAATGGCAGCCCCATATTACAACCAAACTACTTTATTTTACAGCCAAACAGTCTCTCCTTTGCTTTTATTCCACGTGAACGGAACGAGTGAGCGCAATGTTATATATTCCCGCGACGAAAAGGGGAGACAACTCGCAATTGAGCTATAGAAACGCGATGGTCCACAGTCCACGAGAAATTATCCCCCAAAAAATAAGTACTAATGATTAATCCGATAACTACAGTAATATAGTAAGTAGAGTGATGTTGAGTAATGTAAGGAGAGTAATGTAATGTAAGTTTAGTCCTGTACCAATGTTTCTTTATATAAATGTTTAAAAAAAATAAAAAAAATAAAAACAACAACAACGACAAGAAAATTATCCCAGCCACGTGATATTTGAGAAACAGTCTTTTGCTTTGATCTTATCGTTGGCTTTTCATAGTCTGCTTGGTAGCCGTTACGACCCAAACAACGGCTGCTAAAGAGACTAGACTTGTCATGCATTCCTCTAACTGTAAGTGGTCGCTTGGAATTACCGTTTTAGCGCGACTGCGGGGTGTAACTTCCTTGGCAAAAGCAGAAAACCCGCAAAACGAGAAAACCCGTAAACAGCACAAGACACCAAAACCGAAAAACCTCAGTTTTTAAGTGCGAAAACCGAAAAACCGAACCAAAAGTTGGCCAAATCCGCAAATCCGAAAATCCCAACGCTCCTCTCTATGATCGAAACGTCCTCGGATCTTCCTCGAAAGTCTTCGGCAATCTTCGGATATCTTTGGAAACTTTCGAAATCGTTCGTGTGACCATAGAACAATTTGGAGAGTCTTCGGAAAATCGTCGAAAACGTCGCTATCAGTATGTCAATATAGTAAAGTAATATGTGGTTGCTTGTAACATGGAATATATCTTCTCGTGTTCAACTCCTTATCTCACTCGTTTGCTGTGCCCACTCGTGAGATATCAAGGTGAACACTGGAAGGGATATTCCATATCTGCGCCGGCGCCTATGTATTATCCCCCGGGGTGTTATCCTCTATTTATTAGAAGCATGGAGTTCATCAAATCAGATTTACTGAATTTTATCAATTTATTGATTGAGATATCGACACCGATTTTTATCGATTGACTATTCCGGGAGTAACGAGTGACGAGCCCTTTTCACTGAGAGCGTATCCGTGGGAGGCTAACATAGGTTTAACTACAATTTGCCATGCCAAGATTCCTTCATGCTTACAAGCTAAATGAAACAAGGGTTCTTTATTCATTGGAGAGTGCTTGTTTACCTTAGAGGAAATCACTAAACACAATTTAACAGACATGCCCTGAAACAGGCTATTTAGAGTGGTAAGACAACACCTGACTTGACCTTTGTGTGACAGAAATTTGGTAACTGAACACTACATTCCTGTGAATACTAAAAGTTGGCAGACGTACTGAAACACGAACCAAAAGTAACCTACATTGCATGAAGAAAAATTAAGAAATTGTGAACCTGGCCACATTGGTTGCTCAAAATGCGCTTTTTATCTGCAGCTTGTTTTATCGCAACCTTGTTCGTTCTGATCGCTAAACACGGCGCCGAATCTGGAGCGTGTGGGGAGACGGATGTCTGTACAGCCATTAAGACTTTGGAAGCGAAGTTGCAAAAGCTTATCGCGTTGGTTACCCCGCCAGGTAAACTTGAAGACCTTGAACTAACTGATCTGCTGAGAAGTTTTTTTGTTTCGATTTTTTTTATACCGAGCACTTCACCCAAGTTTAATTTTCTTTACAGCTGTTCCTGCTTCTTCCTGTAAGGAATTGTATGACAAACACAGGTAAGTTCACAGGTAAAATGTACTTTCACGTTCTACTTCAAAACAACCACTGATGACCCCCACTGATGTACCGGGGCACTGAGACTGTTTCTGGAGGAAAGTATGTCGCTGTTTGAAACGAGCGATTGAGTTTTGTTATTGATGTAGCGTTTTGTTTTGTTGCCGGAACAAGAAACATACTCCCCAAGCCAGTGCATAACTGAAACAAGCGTAGAGATCTGATCGTGATTTGTTTGAAATTTGCTTCAAACCACTCCAAAGATAAATTCACGCTGAAGTGATATGATTTTATGAACAACGACTTTGTTTGCAGAATCTGATATATTTTAATTTCGTTCATCAGCTTGCGAGTAAATAAAGCCTACGTGCTGCAGACTGACAGTGGAAAGATCCCTGTGTATTGCCACATGACTAGTCACGACCTTGGCGCATGCGGAGGAGGAGGATGGACACTGGTCATGAAAAATGATGGCCATAAGGTATAGCTGGTTTTCACATGACGTCACTAAAATTCAAACTACAAAATTATTGAT